ATCGTCGTCGTCGTCAGGGCGCCACCGCTCCAGTGCGTCGGATTACGAGCAGCCAGACAACCTCGGCTTGGAGGAGGTGCGCGACACAACGCCCACTCGCAAAGCGTGTACACCGTTGTTTTTCTATCACTGGCTCATCACACACATGCACACGCATCCGTACACACTCACACCCACACGTACACACTCACACCCACATCTGCACGTACACACTCACACCCACATCTGCACGTACATTTGCACACACCCCCATCACCGTCCTTCAGGACGGGAGCAACTCGCCTCCGCCGCCGCTACCGCCACGCCGTGGTTCCGACAACACAACGCTGAGTCCACCAACAGCAGCGCCGCCACCGCGTAGGCCATCGCGGTCCGCTGCATCCCAGCCGCTCACCATCACATCCGCAATGACAACCGTTGAGGCGACGGTGGCTGCTGTGAGCGGGGCGGAGAGCGGGGCGCCACCACCGCCCGTTCCGCGCAAGAGCGAACGCGTCATGTCGATGGTTGGATCGGATGCACTCGCCATTGACACATCCGCAGCGGCGCTCCACATGGAGGTGCGCGCGCACACACGGCCGAGGCGGCGGGGGAAGGGCGGGAGGATGTGTGTTCGTATGCTCGCGCGCGCGCGCGCGCGCGTGTGTGTGTGTGTGTGTGTGTGTGTGTGTGTGTGTGTGTGCGCGCGCGTGTGTCTTGTGTGTCTTTCATGTCTGTCCATCTGTCTGTGTCTCTCTGTGTCCGTCTGTGTGTGCGTGTGTTCGCACCATGATGTGTCTTCTTGCTCAGTGATGACTCGATTGAGTGTAACCCGTCACGCCTAATGCTCATGCCCGTGCTCGTTAGCCCAAACCTGAGACGCCTTCAGCGCTCTTTGACCAGATTGGCCATCCAGAACTCGCCCCACTTTTCGTCCAGGCCGGCGTACGTAATACACACGCGCGCACATGCGCACACACACACACGGCGTGTCATGGTTCCCAACTGCTGGTGTGATTCGTTCGTGTTTGGCATCACACTACCTGACTCTTTGAAATCACGCACGTCTCACACGATTCATTCCGCCTCAATCTACCTTCTTGTCCCCACACACTCACGTACACACACACACACACACACACACACACACGCACGCACGCACACGCACACACATGCACACGCACACACACATCCGTCCATACACCCCCTCCCCCCCCCCCACCAACCTCTACACGTTGCGTCGCATTGCAGTACGACGACCTTGAGTTTTTCGGGGACATTACAGAGGACGAGTTGGAGGAGATTGGCGTCGGGGACCAGCAGCTGCGACAACTGCTCATGCAGACATTCAAGCACGCCACATCGTGCTCAGATGCTTAGACTCTTGTGCACTGGTTGTGATGATGTGTTGACGATGACAATGATGATGATGATGATGATAATGCGTTTGTGTGAGGTTTGCTTGGTTTTTTCGTGGTTGTCTTTTGTCTTTCATTCCTTTGCTGTCCTTTGCTTTCTTACTCTCTTTTAGTTGTGGGTGGTTGGAGTGTGCGAGTTTCCCTCTCTCGTGTTACCGCCTCACCTTGTTGCCCCTTTGCCGTTTTTATGCCTATGGTTGATAGTCATAGCTGGTAATCGGCTGTGTGCAGTGGGGTTGTGCGTGTGTGTGTGCGGAAGTGCTGTTAATGCGTGCTGCTATTGTGTTTATGCCATGGAGAGTGGGCTTGGTTTCTGTGTCTGTGAAATGATGAGGTGCATTTTCGAGCAACTGTTGGCCTTCTCCTCCTCCTCCTCTCAGTTCTTCATCACACCCGCTCCGAGCGATTAAACAAAACGAGCAGAGGAAGGGTCGTTTAATAACAGACACACGTCACTGGTGGCCGGCGGCTTCGAGCAACTTTTGCGAGCAGCTTCCCAGTCGTTGCACACGCGCACACGAAGTGCACACGCACACGCACACGCACGCACACGCGCAGAGCAACACCACGCAATCCCAGCAGAACAATCCGCTTATGTTACACCAGCGGGGCGCGTTTGAAACACGCGCGCCAAAGGAATCAATTATGCAAACGCAAACACCAACCAACACATATGAAACGCATTTACGCACAGCCGCAACATGCCGACGATGAAACGCCCCCACCCCCCACACCCTCACGCGTAGCTGGTGTAAGTCGGGGTGTACCCTGTTGCTGTTGTGCCCGTAGGCCCAAACAGATCCGTAGTCACACGCGGGGCAGTGGAGCGCCGGCTGACGAGTGGGCAAGGTGTGTGTGTGTGTGTGTGTGCATTTGTGTTGGGGGTTCAAGGTGAGGCACGATTATGATGATGGAATGAATCGAAAGGAAGGAACATTCATGACAATCATCGCGTTCACAAGCATGGCACACACACACGCGCGCGCGCGCGCACACACACACACACACACACACACACACACACACACACACACACACACACACACACACACACACACACACGCTCAAGCACACACACACGCTCAAGCACACAGACGCCAAATTGCCTCCTGCACACCGACGCAACGCAAGCTGTCGACTGACCGCCAAAAGACAACGGTGGCGACGATGGCGCCGACGATAACAATTGCGCCGATGATCCCACCAGCAATGGCACCCGCTGATGATGACGACGACGACGAGGAGGAGGCAGGTGATGTGGTGTCTGCTGGATGCGCGACCACACGCGACTGCAGGTTCGTCGCGCTGCCAGCCGCAATCACTAGCGGCCGCTTGTCAAGCTTGTTCGCTACCTGCCTCGCTGTATCGCCATCGCTGTACACCACATCAACCCGCACAGCAACGTCCCCTTCCTCCCGGCGCCTCCTTGCGCCACCATCACCATCGCCACCAGTGAGGTAAACGAGCACGCGTTCCACGCCAGCGCTCAGGCCACGGCGCTCCAACTCGCCCTCGACGGCAGTCCTGACAGTGTCGAGGAGGGCAGGCGCCCCATTACCGACGTCGCTGCCCTCCGCCAGGCCGATGTCCAGCAGCGTGCCCGGCAGATCAAACTCAAGCACGACAGTACGGGCTGGCGGGGGTGCGGATGTTGGGGCAGTCGTCGTGGTCACAAAGGGCGACAGCGGTAGCAGCGGACACGGGTCCTCCGCCTCGCCACCACCACCACCATCACCGTCACCACCATCGCCACCGTCAACAACCGCTGGCGGTGCTTGTGGGCAGGATGCGGTGATGCGCACATCGGCAATGCGGCCAATAAACGGGAGCTCTGCGGGCGTGCACGCCTCAAAACGGACCGCAAACGACGACACGGACGGTGACAGCGGTGTTGTGCACTCGCCGTCGCTGTACAGTTCGATGTTGTACTCGCGGGCGAGGGCGGAGAAGGTGAGTCGGGAGTAGGCCGTGTCGATGCCAAAGGCGGTCAGCAACAGGCTTGTCAGCTCTCGGCACGTACTCAGGTCTGACGTCCAGCACTGGGTGGTGTCATCCACAGAGCAGTCGTCCACGCTGGGATCAAACACACACACCACCACCCGCTCGGAATCACCGCTGTCGTTGTTGTCGCTATTGCCGTCACTCACTGCCGTTGTACTGCCTGCGATGGCTGTGGCAGTTGTGAAAGCGCTGCCTTCGCTTGTGGTCGTTACCGATGTTGATGACGGCCGGGGCAGACTGGAGGTGGAGGACGTGGTGCGCACGACGCCGGTGGTGGTGGTGGTTGTGGTCGTGGTGGCGGTCGTAGTAGTCGTGGTGGTGGTCGTTGTAGTTGTAGTTGTAGTTGTTGTTGTCGTGGTGGTGGTGGTTGTTGTCGTGGTGGTGGCGTCGAGAGCTGGGCACGTATCCACGGGGCACGTATCAACCACCAGCAAATCAAAGGCGTCCCTGCTCAGGATGACGGCCGTGGTGCACTCGTTGAGCTGTGCGTCCACGTTCACGGGGATGCCGAAGAGGATCCCGCGGGTACAGTCGACGTTCGAGTGGAGGCTGAAACGAAATGTCTGCGGGCTTGTGTTGGGCAAGGCAGACACCTTGGCGTACAGGGGCGGAGGCAGGCCACCGGATGTTGCCAGTTCATCTGGCAAGCGCTCGCACACGTCGACTGGAATGGAGTAGCACTGCAAGTTTGCGCAGCCGCTGTTTGGGTCAGCCACGCACACGATCTGGTACTCTGGGTCTTCTTGGGCATGGCTGACATGGACGCAGCACGCCGCCGCCACCACGACGGCCGCCACCAGCAGCCGGTGCAGCAGCGCTGTCATCGTTGTGGTCGTCGTTGTTATCTGCTCGCCTTGCTTGTGTTGGCTGCGTTCCTTGGTTTCGCGTGCGCTTGCTTCTTGTGAAATAAATGAACAAACAGTGTGGTGGAAGGAGAGAACAGTCTGCACGACGTGATGGTGGTGTGTGCCGTGCGGAGGTGAAGCTGGCTGGTGGGGTGTCTTGTGTGTGTGTGTGTGTGTGTGTGTGTGTGTGTGTGTGTGTGTGTGTGTGTGTGTGTGTGTGTGTGTGTGTGTGTGTGTGTGTGTGTGTGTGTGTGTGTGTGTGTGTGTGTGTGTGTGTGTGTGTCTGTTTGAGAAGTGGGTGGAGCTGCACTGTGACGCTGATGCTGATGATTGTAGAAATTTACATGAAAATATTCACAAATCACCCACCAGCAGAAGACGCTTGTCATCACTGCCACCACGACCACAGACAGCATCAACACCACACCACTGCAGCCAGCCAGTCAGCATTGTTTCCTTACTTCAACAACAATCAACACACGAACACACGAACACATACACGTACGCACACATACACACACACACACACACACACACACACACACACACACACACACACACACACACACACACACGAACCTGCACGAACGTACACGAACATACAAAAACACACACACAAACACACGCAGCGAAAACAATGGGTGGTCATGGGCTGGAGTTGCTAAACCCACCCGTGGTGTTGCGGCCACACACTTGCGTGCGCGCTGATGGGCAGCAGGTGCAAGTCCATGTGTTTCGGGACGACGTGCTGCCTGGTGGCACCAAGCAGCGGGCCATGGCGCAGGCTGTGATGACGATTGCGGAGCAAGAGCTGGGCGATGCAAGCGCCGTGCAGGAGATTGTGTACGCGGGCCCCGTGGAAGGGTTTGCGCAGATCGCCATGGCAGTGGTGGGCAAGGCCATGGGAATTAAGGCCACGGTGTTTGTGGCGTCGAGGCGCGATCGCATGCTGTTCCACCTCACGCAGCGCGCCAAGGACCAGGGCGCCGACATTCACACCGTGCGACCCCCAAACCGGCTGAAAGACGTGCAGCAGGCTGCCCAAGTGTATGTGCAGGAGCGACAGGCTGCCGGACACAAGACGCTGCTGATGCCGTTTGGGCTGCACTGCCCGCCGTTTCTCGACTCACTGGAGCGCCAGCTGCGCGTTGCCCTGCCACGGCCAGTGTTGGAGCAGCCACCCCGCCGGCTGTGGCTCGTGGCGGGCTCTGCCGCCATCTTGGAGGTGCTTGCTCGCATCTTCCCCACCACGGAGTTTATGGTCGTGCAAGTCGGCAAAACCATTTGGCCCGACCTTCGCGGGTGTGTGTCTTTGCGTGCATGTGTATGCGTGCGTGTATGCGTGCGTGCGTGCGTGCGTGTGGGTGTGTGTGTGTGTGTGTGTGTGTGTGTGTGCGTGTCGAAGCTTTTTTGTGTGTGTCTGTGTGTCTGTCCGTCTGTTTGCATGAGTCGAAGCTTTTGTGTGTCTGCGTATGTGTCGAAGCGTGTTTGTTCTGAACTGTCACTTGACAAAGTATGTCTCTGTGGCAAGGCCGGCCTCCACTCAAGCCACCTGTTGCTTGCTTCCCTTCACCTCCCTCCCCCCCCCCGTGTCTCACACTCGTGCACATCACCACTGCATTCGCGTGCATACAACCCCGTGGTGACAGGATTGAAAAGGATGGCACCCAGCGATACAAGTCGCAGCTGTTTGTGGCGGAGGAAAAATTCTGGCAGGTGGCGCGGTTCCAACCACCATATCCAAGCGTGCGCACGTATGACGCCAAGCTGTGGCAGTTTGTGCGCCAACACGCGCAGCCAGACGACCACGTGTGGAACGTGGCGAGCGACTACGCTGTCACGCGCGACGCCAGCGCACACATCCATGAGCAGATGGTGGAGAGGTGTGCAGCCGAGGCGCAGTTGGCCGCCCGGGCCGGCGCGTTCCAGTGGGCCACGCTCATGGTGGAGATGTGCAAGCGCTACAAACAGAAGATCAAGGACGCCCTGCCAGCCATTATGCAACGCGGTGTGGCGTTTGGGCACGTGTTTCACAGCGACAGCGTAGCTGCTGCGCTGGCGGAGAAGCGGCTGGAGCTGGCGCAGTACTACGGCAGGAAGTTGACCGGGTTTGTCAAGGAGTTTTCACACCACTTTGCGTCCAGCGCCAACAGCGGTAGCGATGCTGCGCGCGCGTTTGCTGCGTTTGAGCAGACGTGTCGCACGTGGCTGTTCGTCGCCAGCCGCACCTTTGCCATGGCGGATCCTCTTGCCAACGACCCACACAGCACCAGCACCAGCAACAACGATGGTGGCCGGGATGGCGATGATGGGTGCGGTGGTGGTGATGGCGATGATGGCGGTGATGCGGTGCCACGGACGCCCGCCGTCGTGAATGTGTTTGAGGCGTCGCTGCAGGAGGTTGAAGCGGCCGGCATTGACCAGGCGGTGCTGGTGTCGGTGCTGGCCACGCTGTATGCCGAGGGCGTGCTCTCCTTCCCCTGGAAGCGGTTGTATGAGGGCAGTCCGGACACGCGCATGGGGAGCCTGCGCACACACGAAGCGACAGTTGACAATGACGAGCGGCGCCGGCCCCACAATGTCCGGATTTACTCCCGCACACACGACGGACAGCCGTTCCTGCCGCTGCAGTTCAAGGGGCGTTGCCACACGTTTGTGCACGATGGGGGCGACTATGACAGCATGGACGTGCTTGCCGACTTCTTTCAGGAAGGGCCACGCCTCCGCGCGGTGCGCAAGGACCAGGAAGCATCGCCGCTCGAGCTGTGGTCACGCCCCGCGTTTGTGCACGGCGTGGTTGGCGACTGCTTGCGGAAGCGCGGGCAGATTACGCTGTACGCGCTGCGCGAGGAGGTGTACACGCAGGTGAAGGAGTGCACGCAGTTCAAGCCCTCGCTTGCCGCCGCCGTGATGCGTTTGTTTCGGGCCACGCGCGTGCTGGACTTTAGTGCCGGCTGGGGCGACCGCTTGCTTGGCGCCATTGCGGCAGATGTCACCACCTACCATGCGTGGGACCCAAACCACACCCTCAAAGTGCGCACGTGGCGGAAGGGGAGCGTTGTGTGTGTGTGTGTGTGTGTGTGTGTGTGTGTGTGTGTGTATGTGCGTGTGTGTGCGTGTGTTTATATGTGTGGATGTGCGTGTGCGTGTGTGTGTGTGTGCGTGCGTGTGTTTATGTGTGTGGATGTGCGCGCGTGTGTGTGTGCGTGTGTGCATGTGTGCGTGTGTGTGCGTGTGCGTGTGTGCGTGTGTGTGTG